GTGAAACATTTCTAGAACGTAATAAACAGGTCGAAACGATTGATTTGCTATTTTCTTGCGAAATCAGTGGCGATCAAGAGTTACGACTCACGTCTCTCAAATCGCGACATGTAATTCTTCGTACTCGAATGAGAACCGCTGTCGGCATCCCGGAGCCAGTGGCGCGAGTAAACCAATAACGCGTCCGCCACGCCGGGTGCCAGATTCAAATCCGGCAGGGACCGAAACGGTATTCCACGACGAAACGGATAGCGGGGGCTCCGCAGGACATTTCGAATCCGTCTCCGCGTCCTGCGGGCTTTACTGGTTTGTCGAGCCATTGGCTCGATTCGGCAATTCCGCGCGCGTTCGACTTTCTCGCGAAAGAGGACGAATGCGATCGGTCGCCTATACAATTTCGCACATGCAAAACTGTTGCTCTCTCGCGTAATCTATTTAATCTGGCCATTGCTGCATTTTTGCGGCCGAAATGGAAAAAGCGGACGGCACTTCCTCCGGATTGTTGAAGAGATTTGAAAACGAAAGTATATCGTCGCGAGTAAATTTCTAAAAATTTATCGTTAATACATACAAACAAAAATGGAATTTAAGTAATAATTTAAAAAGTAAAAATTTAAATTTGTTTAATTACTACAGGTATACAATTAAAATAGAGTAATAGATCGTAGAAAGAATTATTTCTAACGACAAACTTTGTCGAGACCGTAAATACTTATAAGAAAATTCGACGTGGCGGAATAAATTGCAGATGAATTACAACCGCATGTCTTCGATACGTATAATATAAGCAAAGAAATAAAATTTTCGGATTTCTAAAAATCTTATTAACGCGATAGATACATGGAACAGATATTTGGTTCGCGCGTACATCGGCAACTCGTGTCTCGATAATGTTGGCGTCGTAGCAATAGGCAGAGGAGCCGAGTACAAGCAGGAAGTTTGAAACACGCGAAGTGTAGGTACGTCTTGCAATTTTGTCTAACTAAATCGGACAAGGTATAGATATATACCGAGTAAAGTTATTAGAACAAGGTGAAGAAGTCCGCAACAGGGGCGAGCCTCATTCCGCCGTCTTCCATCGTGAAGGAAGCAGAAGGAGGAAAGAGAGGGAAAGAGAGAGTCGCGAGAGAAAGGAGACCGAGATATTCGCCCGTTCCACAGGGTGTACGAAGCGTATCCAATTTGATGGCATTACAATAACGGGGGTAATGTCTGAGAATAATGAAATTTCCCCCAATCACCACGATTCGCCTAGAATACGTTCCTTCGTTCCTACCTTCTCTCTCTCTCTCTCTCTCTCTCTCTTCCTTTCCTTTTTCCCCTCCCCTCTCCGTCGAACTGAGGTCTTCCATCGTCTACCACACGCACACGGATGGACATGTACAGGCGGACCAGAGAAAATGAGTAGAAACGTTTTCGAATCAATCCCGTTCGCGAGTTATTTCGTTCCCCATCGGAGAAAAGTCGAGGGATCCTCGAGTACTTCCGTTCAAGAAATGGATTCTGGTCAAAAAGTTTTCGAACGTGACGACAGTTACGAAAATTCTATGCACTCTCGCGACGTTACGATATTACGTAACGCGACAAAAATTCAGAACTAATCATAATAAATATTTTCAAAATTTTTTTAACTTTAAAAAATGAGTTTCAGAAAAATAGTAACTGATTGTAAGTAGCGTAAGTAGCGTGAAAGTATATTTATATTATATGCATATATCTATATGTGTGTGAATATCATGCTGCAAAGACAAATGTATATTCATATCTCAGAAGATTCAAAAATAGATTATATGCAAAATTAATGTAAATGCGAAGAGTTTTGTGATTATATTTTTCAGATAATATAATTCTAGAATTTTATCCGATCTTATACGTGTCGATTTCGTTGCAATAAAATGCCTAAGTAACCCACTTTCAAATAATGAAAAACGACGAAATACCGAAGTCGAAAGATTTTATATGCGAGACCGGAATTCCTTTTGACCGCTCGTCGTTTCGCTTGTTCGACGCCTCGCTTCGCCTCAACGTGGGCGCAATAATTCTCGAGCGAACTGTACGTAATGGAATATTACACGGGCCATTAAAGAAACGTTAATCTTGCCCACAACAAGTTCAGAAGCGCTCGCAGGATGCTCAAACGCGGCCGGGATTACGCGCCGGCTTTGATCCTCCAACGCCCCGAAGGCGCGCACCGGAGTCCGCAGCCTCCTGTAATTTGTTAAAACGCGAAATTCTGTGACGTCGCTGTTTGTGTCGGCGTTTCGTTACCGCTTAAAAGTCACGCGGCTCCTTTGACGACTTGCCGGAAAACATATTTGCTATTTAATATTAAATTGATCGTTGTTTTTCTGCCACTTTTCATTAAATTTTCTTTTTACAAATAGTCAAAAGGATTGCAATTCCGAACTAGACCAAATAAATTAACGTCTCAAAAATACATTAGATACAGAATAATTGTAAGATTAAATATTATATTTAGTCAATAACAATAAATAATGAGTAAATAAATAGAGAAAATAATATAACTCTGTATATGAAATAGACTGTAAAGGAGATTTAGAAGGAAATTGTTAGAAAAAATAGTTCGCTAATTTTTTCCTTCTATTCATTAAAAGATATTTTCTTTACTATTCTAAATTGGCCATACAAACAGTCACAATTTATTGATATTCAATTATAGCTTTGTGCTATATAAGTATGTCAAATATTATATTATGGAAGTGATCTTGCTTTCGTGATAATAAAGCTATATATCGCAACTTTCGCGAATTGTTTCAAACGGATCAGTCTATCTTCCTCCGTGGATACTAAAATTTTCAGGAAAGGGGGTCGTGCTACAGAAAAAGCTGCGGATGAACTCTCGACGGCTTTCTTTCACGGGTAAGGGCGAGCCTTTGACACTTTTTTTTCTCGCGTCGATAAGAATGCTCTCCCAGTTCCACCGTCATCCTTTCTGTCCTCCTTACCCCGCCTCCCCCTCCCGCCACCAGAGACTTTCTTCCGTAGCCTTTCTGTGAGGGTGACTCGTGTACACCTCGGCGCTATTACGAAGGCGCGAGGGAGCAAGTCAGCCCAGCTCCGGGTAGGGAAGACGAGACGACGAGAGCGAAGGAGACGCGACAGCAGACGAGAAGAGGCGGCGCAGGGCGACGTGGGAGAGGGAGGGTAGAATTTAGCGACCCTCTTTCGCTTTTTACCCTAAGCGAGTCGAGAGCCCCTTAGCCACCGTTTATTGGACGCATGCAAATATCCATGGCAACGGCGGTACCGCGCCGTATACGCGAAGAACCAACCCCGCCGTTGTGAACGCGCCGAACGTGCCGGTGTACGCGGGGACGGGGAGATTCCCTCCAGGTTAGAGAAAAAAGAAAAATAAAAAGAGAGAGAGAGAGAGAGAGAGAGAGAGAGAGAGAGAGAGAGAGGGAATTTCCTTTTGATCCGCGCGTCGCCTATTCTCGAACAATCTCTTAATTGATTCTGCAGAAATTGGTCGATTCCTTTTCGGTCTGAGTGCTTCTTCGGCTCTTATCAAACGTACGTGTTTCCGCAAGTTATCACATGTAACCAAAATCTCCTGCGGATTATCTAGCCAGAAATCCAAGGATTACGACTACTTTTGAATTAATTTTCTTAACAAAGATATACTCTGACAGCTACAGATAATTTTTGAGCCAACGATTAAAAATCAACGACGAGTTAAATCTCGTAAGCAGAGGTGCAACTGGATAGAGAAACTTTGTCCTTCATCCAATTTCTCACACATTTATTTTATATTTCGCTTCTCTGCTTTATTCTTTTAATAAAAATTAACAACTCGCGGAATAATGCGTAAAAAAATAGATATATATATATATATATATATATTATGATGTATCTGAAGATTGTCAAAAGAGGAAAATATTATCAATCACGTTAGTATGTATTCACAGGCATGATACTTTAATGATAGACGTTTCATCGGCGCACGTGGAGCGCGATCGCGAGACCGGAAGAACGACTCGTGTTGGGGGAGCGACGGCTCGTCGGGGCGGAACCGGTTAACGCCAAATCGTCCGTCATTCGTTTGCGCGATTAACCGCCTCGTGTTAACAACATCGGCCGCGCCGCGCCGCGACAAGGGGAGGAGTTTGTACGTCGTCCTGGTCGCGCGCGCCCGCCCGAGTCCATCGGCTCGCATAAACATCCTCGATACAACCAGCAACCGCCACCCCACAGAAAACTGATTTCCATCCCCTCATCCCGCGGCTCGCGCTATCTATGTAAATGCGGTCCTGTTTTGTGTGAGTAGACAAAGCCCCCCGTTGACAATACGCCTGCGCGTTTACAACCTCCACCCGCCGAGCCGAAAGTCAGGCTCCATTACGGCTGTTTTGCGACGCGCTTTGTATTGTTGTCGCCGCCACCGCCGTCGCGCCGCCGCCGCGCCAAGCCGCGCGACACCGATTTCCTCCACGAGGAAAACTTCTGTCATTTTCGTCATTTTCTGTAATCGGTTAGCCACCGAGATTTAATGTTTGGCGAATCTGATCTTCAACTTAATGTCTCGAGTACTCATGGCTGACGTAAAAAATAACGCGCGTTTTTTTATTAAATTAGGTAAACATTTTACGCAATATTATCTTTTCCAGATAGCAGATTTAGCAAACCAGCGAAATTTTGACAGTAACATAATCTTGAAGAAAGAAAATCAGTCTTTCATTATGAAAAATGAATTTTCAAATTTTGTTTATACAAAGAAAATATAGCTGTAGAAAATAGCGTTTCTTTCATTTTTACTTTCGATTATTATTATGAGCCAACTTATGTATTTAGGCCCAATGGGTCAGATTAATATGCATTTCAATGATATTATGTTTTAATTATATTACATATTATTGCATAATTTTGTCTATTAGCGCTAATAATAGTAGAGCGAACTGTCTATTAGTCACTATAATCTCAAGTTCCTTATTCAACGAATAACGGTAAGAGAAATCATTTGATGGAATGTAAGCACTTACGCTCGGGATGTTGTCGTTCGTGCACACGCCCTCCTGCAACAAGCGATCTCGGATCTCCCACGCGAAGATGGACGGGCACTCACTTTTGTAGAGCGAGATCTTGCTGACGACCTCCGCCGTCGCCACGCGCGGTTTGCTGCCGCCTATGGCCCTGGGCCTTATAGATCCGGTCTCATAGTACCTACAACAATAATAATTTGCGGTACAATGCGGTAGGAATACGTGGAAACGTTTAGGTTGCGCTATTAAAAATAAAACGTCATACGTTTATCTCTTTAAGTGAATGTTATCATATAGCCTAAATAGAGTTGTGCAATACGTGCAGAGCTGATATTAAATAATATAAACTTGATTGCCTCTTATGCAACAGATGTTGAATACAGTCAAATGTTTGGGCCCACTTTGCACCTCTCTTAACTCTTGACTCAGGCTCGATTGTAATTTTACGTGATGCTCTATTAATTCTTGAAATTTATAAAAGTTACATCTATACTCGATTTACGCAAGACAGACCGACGTGCAATCGCATATTTCGTGTAAAACTGCGCGATTTCAAACAAGTTTCTTAATCGACGACATGACTGCTCGACTTAAGATGTGTCAGTAATTTAAGTCGGGCGAGAACGCATCGCGGAACGGAGCAAGCAATATTGCAACCAACCTGCCGAGGATCTTGGAGACACAGCCGTTGCTGACCTGCAGTATCCTGGAGATGTCGCATGGCCGCGCGCCCGAATGGGCGAGCTCGACGATCTTTTGCCGCGTCGAGTCCGGAAGCGGCCGACCGCCGACGAAGACACCACCCAGCTGGTTCACCCCGCTGTGCCCTGCGAACGACGAAAGTTGTCCTTCGTTATTCTTCGCTTAACAGTTTCGGGAACTGGGTAACAGCAAATTGCGGTGCAATAGAGAGAGAGAGAGAGAGAGAGAGAGAGAGAGAGAGAGAGAGAGAAAGTGTGACTAACAACGAGTTATGATAACAACAAATTATCTTTCTTCTGAATTATTGCCTACTTTTTTCGATCTTTCTCTGTCTCTTTTCTCCGATTCTTTCCCTTTCCGCGCGCGCGCGCGACGTTCGCGCAAGGGGTGTGGAAAATTCAAACGCTCCACCGCCTTCGGAGACTTTTTCGCATTTCGGCGAACAATACCGCTGTCGCCATAGATCATGTATTTTCCCTCCTCTCGTCCGCGGAGACTCACCCCGGAAACCCGAGAGGAGAGAAGACCGCGGTGGTGGGCTCCTCTTTCTTTCTTTCTTTCTTTCCAGACGCGGCCAGATCCGAAGGGAGAGCGATGGGGAGGCGGAGGACGAGTGCAGGGGGTTGGCCACGAGCGTCGTAACGTCAGCGAATCCCATCGTAGATAATCTTCGACTCATTGTGCCAGTGACAAGGCAGGCACACACGTCGGTGCGGGACACACTCGAGAGGAACGCCAGGACGGTGTGTTCCCTCGCGCAGATATTTTATATTCCCGCGATCGCCGCGCGCGGATGCCGTATCCGCAGGTGACACTTAGAGTGGAGTGCCACGCCCTAATTTTTCTCGGAAATTCTGTCTTCGAGGTAAAGGTAGAATTTTTGAAAATAATGCGCGGGAAGTAGATAAGCTATTATGATAGTACAAATGATAGACGCATGTTTCTCGAAAAAAATCTGTGTCAAGCAACATAAATTTTTACGCAAAATATTGTATTACATTAAAATATTATTATATATTACATCATTTAAAATTTAATTTTAAAAAAATCCTTGCAACACCCATTCATTTTATTGCATTCGAACGGTATATTAATATCGAAACGGAAGAATTGGTCATCGATAAACGATTATCAAAATCGTGATAATTTTTATAATTTACAATTAGATTCATAATTTTAATTTCTTTGATGTTACATATAATTCTAAGAAAATATAATTTCTTGAATTTTAATAGCAGTAATTAAATAATTTAAAAAAACTTTTCCCCAAATAAAAACATATAAAGCCATAACACTTTTTAATTAATCATGTTACATTGAAATCTAGTCTTATTGATAATTGCAGCGTAATGGATTTTTTTATCTTGCGCAAAAGATGGTTTTTTATTAACTTTTTTAATAACATAAAGAGCCTGCTTTTACATGTAAAACTTTCCGTTCTTTTGACAAATACGGAATATGAAAAACCACCGTCGATGTATGTAATATATGAACACCGGCAGGAGACCATCATACGGAATAAAGTATATTTCGCGAATGTATAAGCTTTCGATCGCGCGAGGAGAAGATACATACGTATACGTTATAGGGAAGGCAACGTCGATTGTCAAAAATTTCTCATCGACTGTCGCTAATTCGGCGTGTCGGCCGGCACACACCCGGAGGGTTGTAAGGAAGATTTACGAGCGTGCGCGATCGACGAAAAGGGGGCTCACGGTCGATTGACTTTCGAAAATGGGCCTGGCGCGAGAATCGCGAGCCATTTCTCGCGTATATCTACGCGCGCCTGCCGTGAATGGGCCCTTCGTCGTTCGAAAGAGAGTCCACTCCTATACACGTGCGAACATACAACACATGCATACGCACGTGTAAACATAATCTGTCATCTAATATTCTAATATATAGTTCATTGACGAAGACGGTTTTTTTTAAATAAATTACCACTTGTGTTCCGCTTCTCTATTAGATCCGCGTAAAACGGACGTAAGGAACGCGGTGAAATTCTCGCTCGGTTGGGAGAAATCCGCCGATAATACCGCGCAAGGCTCGCAAAAAGCGGGCAAAAAGCGGAGCAGTGAATTAAAGAAACAAATGGAGTCTGAAAAGGGGGGGAGGCGAGCGCCGCGCCGCGCTACGCCGCGTCGGCCAAGGGGGTGGGCGAGGGAACGCGAGTAAATTGTTAAACGCGCTTCTCGAATGCCGGCTCTTAACGAGCGATAATAACTCGCGCAAATAACTGGCGCGTCTTTAGAGGGCTAGTTTCTGCTTTCTCTCCCCTTCCCCCCCTTCTATCTCTCTCTCTCTCTTTCGCGTCGTCCGCCTGGCTATTGTGTGTGCGAGCACGAGAACATCGGGGAATTACAGTTAGCTCCTCGTCGTCTCTTCGCGGATTCTGGCGGGGTGTGCGTGTGCGTGCGCTCGTTCGTATTAGAGCCGGTACAACGGCAGGGGCGCGCGATACTTACACCTTTAGGCAGCCGGTATTAACCGCGCGCGCGACCAAGGGGTGCACTCGAGTGGGCATTCGGAGCCCAGAGGACGTGTTTTGATATTGTAACGTTTGTATTAAATATCAAGTCGGAGAAGGGTGCCACCGCGCCGCGCCGCTTGCCTGAGCCACGGCGCCGTTTATTAGGACTTCATTAGCCGTCCCTTGATCCCTTCTCGCTTTCTGGCCCCAGCACCCTTTTCCGCGATGCATCATCGATCGCGCGTGGAATTTTTCTCGGCCGTTTTCCATAGATCTCCGAAGGGACGTTGCTACTAGATCGTATATCTTTAGTACTAATTTAGATTTATTGTTATTTTTTTCCTATCCGTGAATATATAAATACGTCATAATTAAAAACTGCAGTAGAAGATATTTGGTACGGAAATGTTTGCGCATTAGCAAATGAATAATAATATTTTTCACAAACCACTTTTTTATTTAGCACTTTCAAAATATCAAAATATATATATTTTTTTTTACATAAAAAGCACGTAAAAACATGTTGAAGATTTGTAGCAATTAACTGTTGGCAGCAAATATCAATTAAAATTTGTTTTTCTTATCGCTATGATCATTAAAAGCGATATTAATTCTTGCATATGTTTATAACAATTACACAGAGGTAGGTGAGAATCGCTTTGAAACAGTGTATCACGCTGTTTTATCGCCTAGCGTATGTACGAAATCTGTGACGAATGGATCAAGGACGCATTCGTTCTGTACTAACAAACTCGACACCAATGAGTCTGTCTAACTCATTACAACGTACAATACGCAGCTGTTTCTGAAAAGATAGCTTATCATGCTTACATATTGACGCATATAATAGTACAATTTCAATAGAACGCTTTACGTTCATATTCCACGCCGGGAATAAAAAAAAAAGAAGCACAATTAGAAAATCTAATCGCGAGTGGCCAGCGAGCTTTTTTGCTAATCGAGGATCGATGAGCGAAGTGTTTTCAGACACGGGCGCAGACAGTTTGATACTTTTGGCAGCGCGCGCGTAGCCGCGAAAAAATGGGGAAGCTCGTTTACAAACGGGCAACAGAGCCTCGCTGACGCGACGGCTCAGACAGCACATTCATCATCCGTCCGACTTCTTCCACCCCGTCCGACTTATATAGCCGGATCCTCTCCTTTCCCTTCTTGTTCTCCATTCGGGGTGGTCGTCCTCCTCTCGGCATCGTGACGTAATCAATTACGACGAGCACCGGGCTCGCCGGAAGGTTGCCGGCTTCCCCCACGCGAGACTTGCTCGATCCGTTCTGATTTCTCATAACAGAATAAAGTATTCGCTATTCTGTTTTGATTCGCTTCTGACTCACTCAAATGGATCATTGCTTCATCACTTCTCTTTTCTATACATCTCGCACCAACGCTACTCGTGATCGTAACTTTATGTTGTCTCTATTTTGAAAATAATCTAACTTCTTACTTTTATAAATTCCTAAGAGGATGTTTATATAAAGATGTTATATTATAAAATAGAAATTGTATTTTTCGTACTATAATAACAAATATTTCTTGATAAATAAATCATTACAATTACTTTTATATTATACATAATGTTATTATAATAATATTAAAAAATATATATAAAATATATTCTGTAAAATTATTTAAAGCTTCCAATAGTATTAAAATTCGCAAGTTAAAAATCGATCTTCCCATCGCATATGAAAAGTGTTTCATGTAGAATTTCTCAATTTACATCTGGCAAGCTCACTATAGAGGAGAGTTTTGAGACTTACAGCGCAACAGTTCAAAAGTCAAATTTGGAACGTTTCCCATCCATTTAACGCGACAATTTGTATATCAATGACACGGATCGATCGAATTTGGTTCGACGTGGAAACACCATTCGCCGGTCCTTCGCAAGCTCCTTCTCGCCGTAGCCATTGTCGCGGGTCATTGTGCATCATTGTATCGAGTTCCGCAGAAGTTGCGGAGTTGAGGACAAGCGGCAGTCTATCGTGCGATCGGTGTACCGTCCTCCAAAGTGCAACGGCAAACGCTTACGAGCGGCAGTTAAAATCGGTCCAACCTGAAGCGCCTATGGTAGTGATGGTGCTCGCCAAGGCGTCTCAATCATCTTCGCAGAGATGCGCTTCCGGGGGATGAATGAACGGTGACGGGGAGGGCGGGGGGAGAGGTAGAGAGGGAAGGGGGAGGAAAAGCGCGGGACACCCTTCGAACCGTTTCAGGCTGCTCAACTTTGGAGAGGAAGGTGTCGAGGGATGGCCACTTGGGCTCGAGTGTTTCGCGCTCGGCATGATGTTTCGGCATCACGTCGAGAGTGATCGCATCCACGAGAGGATGAAGAAACGGAATATCTGCTCGATCACGTCAAAGTGTCATTTTACGCCAATTCAGAAGACTATTTATAACAGATTATCGATCGCAACCCTCGTGCTTCAGACCTAATTCTGGTTTATAACGGGATGAAATCAATGTTAGACTGTTGGCAAAGGTTTCGTGGCTATTTCTGTAATCCCTCTCTTCAATTCATTGAGTGCGATCTATTAAAATTTTTTACGTTCTCTAAAATAAATCTTTCGTGACTCGAGAAACGACACTCTTATATAAATGCAAAACACGTAATACATGTTTGTTTTTTATTCAGACCTAATTCCTGGCTCATGATATTTAATTTCTACAAATTTAAACAGTATAATACGAAAGGAAACTCAATCGTAAGATATATTAATCGTAGGTATACACGCGAGCGAACCAAAAAAGTGAGCGTAAAGAATGGGTATGGGGAACGCCCGATGAAGTTCTCCGTGGACTTTGCGGTGTCAATGATATACACTTTCGAGCTAATTTATGGGATCTCATCGATACAGTGGGTTATATCATGAAGAGCCAACAAGTTGCCTAGAGTTGACTGCCCCGCGCATCGCCGTAACGCTGCTCGCACAATGCGGAACGTCGTGTGCATCATCGTAGACGACAGCGTCTATTTTGTCGGCAAAATCGTTCGACGATAGAACTCCCGTCCTGATTTCTCTCTCTCTCTCTCTCTCTCTCTCTCTCTCTCTCTCTCTCTCTCTTCACGCTAGCCTCTCGCTCGTCGCCGCGGTATTGAGACGCCACGGACGACATGACGAGGGTCAGTCTACAACACAACTGACCGTCAGGTAAGAGGCGGAGGAAACCGCGAGGGAGCAGAAGGAGAAGCGGGAGCGCCGTATTGAATGCGACCGGCTACGATCGTCATAATGGCCTCATTGTTGCGGACATGTTTTCAAAAATGAGGACCCTTACCTTGGCGGGGTGCGGCCCGCTTTTCCGTAGCCGGGGAGTATCGCGAACGGCACACAGAGATATATACCGGTGTCCCGCGCGAGGAGCGTATAGGGCGTACAATGAGGACTCGAGTATTTGTTGTGCCGTTGTTTGCAGCCAATCTGCCGCGCGCTTTGACCTGCAGCGACTCTCTTTCTATCCCCCTCTTCACTTTTTTCCTCCCTTTCCTTCTCTCCTTCTCTCTCTTTTTCTTCACCGTTGTCGGTACGATCTTTTTTTCCGAAAAATGCGCTCCCGACAGTTATTAGCGTTATTAATGGCCATCCATTGACAACTCGATTCATCCTCGATCACCGATTTGTATCGAGGGGGAAAGATCGACTCCGGGGATGGACAGATGTAGGATCTTGTTCCAGGTCAAGGGATCGTCGATGATTTCGTGCCGTGACACCGTTAGCCTACACGCACATCCTTTACGATGCTAACGAGATTTCGACCTGGCGATTGGTCGTAGGTGTCTATTTACGAGGTGGCGAATGCTCGTCAATACCGAATAAATTGAGCGTATAATTTCCGAGCGCACGACGGGGTAATTAATAAATAATAATTAATAAAACGTCAAATTTGTTAATTGCATCAACGTATTTTCGTGAAAATGTAGATACGTTAATTTCAGGCTATCACCTTTCGGTATTAAAAAAAAAAAATAGACTAACTTATTCAGTAAATGGAAAATGTGTCGATTATAAATACAGATAAAGCAATAAAGCGTCATTATGGCGAGCGACTATACTGAGCGTGTTGTTCGACAAGCGAACGATTTGATACCCCGCGGCGAGTCGAGGCGCTGCTCTGCCCCGGAAAGGTGAGCGTTTCCTGGCAAGTGGAGGGCTCCTCTTTCCGGGTCGAATTATCCAATTACCTGGAGGCCAGCTATATGCCGGTAAGGTCGGGGAACAGATCGGGGATCGGCGCGGCGCGGTGAGGCGGCGGCGTAACACGGCGCGGCGGTGGCGGCGGCAGCCGCACGAGACGGCCGCCGTGGCCCAAAGCGGACTGGACAAAGAGCCCCGTAAACGCGTTATTCCGCGCCAACGAGTCTGTCAGAGCCGCTGCTTCCCTCTGCGAGCGCGGTGTACCAAGAGGCCCCGACTGGTCCGCGGGCAACTCCCCGGTACAAACCGTAGCCGTCCCCTTGCGCGCGTGTCCGGCGAGTAAATCATCTCTGTATACAGTATCTCAATATGTTTCAACAGCAATGAACCCGTAATCCTTTCGCGATAAAAGGGAAGAGAACTTGTCCGCTTTCAACGCGTACATCTCGCTCATAATATATACAACAATGCAAAAAACAAAATTTTCCAATTTGTTTTCAATCATAAAAATTTTGTAATATCGTTTTTAAATGCGATTTTGATGTTGCAATTTTGGTCTATTGATTGTAAAGGAACAAAAGTATTATTAGATCTTCATTCAGTGTATTCAAGTCTCATCAGAATTCTTTTTTCTTTGCAGATGATTAAAAAATTACAATTTTTTATTTAGGTCATTGCAGCAAATAAATGATAGTATAACGTATCGATATGTAAAACACGATAAAAATTCCTAATTGATGTAGGCATATAAGTTTTTTAAATACGCGATTTAGATATATATTAATAAATTACATAACTTGTTTTTTTCTACTACAAATCAATATTAATCGTTGGTTAGAAAAGTTACGTAACGCGTGATGAATGAATACAGAGTGTATTCTGGTAATTACCGTGCTATTTTTTTTTAACAGGTAGAGCGGATTAAACTGAATAGAAAAATCATTTGGCGTTTTGCGAGTTAATTCATTCTATCTGCCTACGAGAGATGGTATAGTAATTGCCAGTCACGTTGTAAATGGATTAGTATTTTGCCGAGAAATTAAATAATGTATCTTTCGAAACATGAATGGAAAATAAAAAATCGTCTTGATTTAATTTCAGACCTACACTTATTTTATTAGAATTTTTATTTCTAGAATAAAGAATTCATATACTTTTCTAATAAATTAGATTTATTACATATTAACGACGAAATAATGGACGCGAATTTTCGCTTAAAGGCTCGTTTCTCGACCGAATATTCCTTTTTAATCGAACATCCGTCCCTCTTATCCTCCAGTCAGGGACTCTGAAGAAACCCGGAGACATCAATATTTCCGTTAAATAAACGGAATGAAACTCGCGGCAACAACAATATCGAGGAACATGTGTTCGATCGCGTAATCCGCGCGCGGCCGGCGCGGATTTGTGTTCGAGGAGGAAAAAAAAGGGAGGAAGCTTAATCGCGCGATCGACGCGCACGAGGGAGAGACTTTCGAATCCTCGTCGTCGTGCCGTCCGCGGGAGAGCCCCCCGTTTTTTTTCGACGGTTATTACCGAAAAATGCGGGAAGGGCCGAAGGAACGCGGAGACGCGGGCTGAAGGGTCGGACGTGCATGTGCCACCAGGAAATAAGGCGCCGTGAGGGCCCCTTTAACAGAGGCGTACTACAAGGACAATCGTACAAAGTGCACAATGACATCGGCTGGTTGGTCGGCATTGTGGTCGCGCACCGCTTGTTCCCATGGGAGTGCGCGATGCCCATGGGGGTTGTGACATAATTAGATCTACGTATCGGAATGATCAGCTGTGGGAATAATGCGGCAGCGTCGCGTCGATCTACACGGGGATCTACGCCCGATGCAAATGGGGCACGCGGAATACACATATTAAATCACGGACCACATTCAACGCGTCGTTACCTCGTAAACGAATCTTCACGTCCATTCACATCCACAGAAATAACTAATAAATTTCTGTGCTAAACGCCATAGAAAAATACGTTTACAGGGAAACTTTTAATTCTGGCTAGCATTTTACATAAATATACATGTATTTAAAAAATAGATCATTGATATCCA